AAACAACATATTTCAGATTATCGATACTAAAAATTTTTTTATTTTATTACTTTTTTTTGCATTTTTTTAAAGGGTGCACACGAGAGGATCATGTAAACTTCAGAATTTAGAACCTTATTTTTAGGCATTATCTTGGCTACCTATTTAGGCTCGAAAAGCAAAAAATATCAAAAAATACAACTTGACTCCATTCTGACCCTTTCATGGAGGTAGTTTTTATCCGCTAGTATTTTCCCTTTGAATCTCTTTACAATTCGAAATCAAATTCAAATCTCAGTAGAAGAAAGGAAGAATCGACTTACTACGGTTGTAATACGAATAAATACATATACTTAATTATTTTTATTTACATAATAATTGTTTGAAGCTCATATTCCATCAAATTTTTAAATAAAAACATTAAAATGTTGAAAATGTTCATATATTTTAATAGGGTTTTGGCACTTTATTGAGGAATTACTACATACATAGTCGAACTGAACTTGATATTTTGAAATTTAAATTATTTATCAAAATTAAAATTTAACTTGAAATTTATAATTATTTAGTCATATTTTGCATAATTCTAAGTAGATTTTGTAAAAAATCAAGAAAGAAAAATTTTAACGTGCTTTATTTTTTCTTTTTTATAATAATACATATTATTATATAATTAACATATTCATAATGTTTCACCCTTTCAAAAATATAATCCTCCTCCTCTCAAATAAACGTACATACGGGTGGCCTCTTTTTTCAAAAAATTAAAATTTGAAATTTTGGGCTCAAATATTAGAGATTTTTTCAACCTTCAACGATATATGTTGTCTATATCAGACCTCCTTTCTTTTTGATACTTAATATTGTTCCTAAATCTTAGCCGTTAAGGCTGTTCTGAAAATATTTTTTTTTCGAAAAAATTCGAAAAAAATTCTTAAAATTCAAAAATCCCTTAATTCCTGAGGATTTTGGAAAAAAGTTTTTACATGAACATGTGTATATTATATGAAGTATATTGATAAGGTAAAAATCAAATTTTATTGCATATTCATCGAGAAAATAAACTGTAATGCATGAAAATTCGGTTCACTTCATTTTTGACACTTTACATATCGGATGTAATACCTAAGAATTATATTATAAAATAATAATTTTGTGTTTTATAAGTTTATTTGTATAAATTGATTCAAAAAAAAATGGAAAGACAAGAAGTGGATCTGCCAAATGAAAATCAGATTTATAGTTTTAGAGAGTTACATACATGAAATATGAAAATTGAACTTTGTATAAGGAATTGTTGGCTATGATGTACTGATCATGAATCAGTACATCATAGCCAACAATTCCTTCCCAAACAGCGGGAAACTTTGTCTGAATAGTTTAACATTCAGACAAATTTTCCCGCTGTCAGAGAGGGAATGGAAGGGTAAGAGGTATATATTCATAATGTATACCTCTTACCCTTTCATTCCCTCGAGAAAGTTCAAAAACTTGGGTGCAATCAGTTCTGATTGCACCCAAGTTTTTGAACTTTGTATAAGGAATTGTTGGCTATGATGTACTGATTCATGAATCAGTACATCATAGCCAACAATTCCTTCCCAAACAGCGGGAAACTTTGTCTGAATAGTTTAACATTCAGACAAATTTTCCCGCTGTCAGAGAGGGAATGGAAGGGTAAGAGGTATATATTCATAATGTATACCTCTTACCCTTTCATTCCCTCGAGAAAGTTCAAAAACTTGGGTGCAATCAGAACTGATTGCACCCAAGTTTTTGAACTTTGTATAAGGAATTGTTGGCTATGATGTACTGATCATGAATCAGTACATCATAGCCAACAATTCCTTCCCAAACAACCCGAAATTTGTCTGATTCCACACTAATTTTATTAATTTATCTAAACTTTTATCCTCGTCTACAATTTAATCATCAATAATTATCTCTTGTTCTATTTCACTATTATATATATATATATTTATATGATTTGATTTAAAAAAAATAAATAAATAAATTAATAAATCATTTACTCAAATATATCAAAAGTTTTATTTTTATATATAAAGATAACTACTTTTTAAAAAAATACCCTATATATTTTTGCCATGTAAATTTGTCACTTTTGTCAGAAGTGAAGTGAACCGAATTTTCATGCACAACACATCGAGAAAATAAACTAACGAATCCCTCAAAATTGAGAGGGTAATCCTCCTCCTCTCAAATAAACGTACATATGGGTGCACCCTTAAGAAGCTAAATTCTGAAGTTTACATGATCCTCTCGTGTGCACCCTTAAAAAAATGCAAAAAAATTGAATACTTTACTGGCTGGGCAAATTTGTCGCCGCCCCGGTTTCGAATTCAAATCTTTATTGTTATTATTAAAAATGGAAATGCATATATAAATACATGTATTTATGTCTTATACATTAAACACTTAGATATAAGACAAGCAGTCCAGCATTTCGAATATTAATAAGATTATTACATATTTTATAATTGTTTATAATATCTCATAGGATTAGAAACAAAATTAAATGCTTGGAATCGAATTTTGCACATGATGGAAAACAACCGAGTCAAAATTGAAAAAGTCCGAAATCTATGGCAATATTATAAAGAATATGTCGCGTATCTGTGATATCATTTTCCTCAATGAAATATGGGGAATATTGGTTGATTTCTCATCCATGGAATTCCCAAATAAAGTCTATACTAAAATCCATATGCTTATTATACCACTTTTCGCACGGAAATATCGTTGATAAGCTTTGAACTAACCATAGAGTGTATATATTAGTTTTTTTTTCTTGATTTATCAGCGTATATCACTTTGGATGGTCTAACTTAGCATATAAAGCATGGTTAAATACCTACTAATTGAAGGATGACCAAGAAGAATAATTATGCATTTTGATTTTTTACTTTTTTCATCGGAATAGTAGAATTTATTAAATAAGAATAGACTTCGTTTGTTAGTATTAATTTAAGGATGTCAATTTGGAAGAAAAGTGAGAAAATTCCTAAAATGCTACAAATGAATTTTCCAAATGTACTTTTTTATCTCATTTTTTTGATTTTGAAAAAAATTTGGAGAGAAGAACTCTTCGTTTTTGAATTTTGTCACGATGGTTTTAAAGTATATTAGACACATGTATTGATATTACTATTTTTGTATATTTTGAGAGAAAATCCCTAAAAAGTGAGAAAATCTGAGACGGTTTGAGAAAATATATAAACTATTGAAAATTTGAATTAAACTTCTAATTTGGAAAAAAGAAATTTGGAAAGAAGAAAATTCAAAAATCGAGATTTAGACTCAGTATCAAATGGAGAACAAAATGTTTCTTCATATGAAGGAAAAAATTTTCTTGAGAAGAAATAGAGTTTTTAAATTTTATTGTATGTAATGAAATAAACAAATATTAAAATTATTTTTTGATAACAAGAAAATTCCCAACAGAAAATATTTGAGACAAAGAAAAAAAGAAAATTGAAAAATATTACTCTCCTTTACATTTCATGAGATTTTCAATTTATTTTCATAAAATTGACAATTTTATACGTTTAGATGAAAATAAGTGATTTTGCTTGAAATAAAATTATTGTTTGTTTACAGCTATCAAATAGATTTTTGCTATTTTTTTTTGTTAATCAAATTAATAATTTTTTTCTAAATATCTTAAATATCTGGATCACTCACTGATACGATGAATTAAACGATAAAAATAATACAAACTCAACTAAGTTTCCTGTCTTTCAACCAAAAATATTATGCAATTTAAATTAAATTGTTTATTCAAAGATAAAACAAAGATAAAGTAATTATAATTATCATATACTTTATGAATAACTCTCTAATTGGATAAGATTTTCGTACAAATATTTTTATTAATATCGATAAGAATATGTTTACCTACTATCACCATATGTCGATAAACGAGAGTAGAGTGATTTTTATCATCGAAACTTTTTAAAAGCTGTAAGCAGGAAGTAATAATCTTGTTTTTTCTGAGTTAGTTGTAGAACTATTGATGCCCGAGTTATCATTGTGATGCAGAAGGATATCAATGTACTGACTGAAGGATATGAATTGAATTGAATTTTATTGAATTTCAATTTGATCAAAATTTGTTGAAATGATATGAATGTGTCAACTTCTGTATCATTCTCCTTCACTCCTTCCTTATTCTTTCGAGAACGAAGCTAGCTCAGCTTTCGCTGAGCGAATTGACACTTTTCATGCCCTAAACGTACATACTCTCAAATTTATCGAAAAAATTAATACCACCTAAACTAGTATATTCTTATTTTAAATATGATATTATCCTTATATTCCACACTAAAATTCATTTAAATCAACTTTTAAAAAAGTTCGAATCCTGCGCGTCTCACTTTTTAAATTTTCCAAATGGAAAATTATATTCTCCTAAAGTGAAAACAATTTTCCAAATTGACTTCCTTAATTAATTAGAACTATGTAACAAATTTCGATATCATAGTAAAATAATTTATATGATGCAAAATATATATAACAAAGCACTGAAATGGAAATGATTATGTATAAAATGCTAGAATCTGATATACGGCATAAATTTCTGAAAATTTTGAAGTGAATTGTAGCAGATATAGCATTTGAAGAATATCAGTCTATAAAAAAGTTAAATAAGTATCTTCTTGGTTCCAATATTGTTCATACATTCGTTTTAGATTTGAAGAGAAGTGATTCGTTTAAATTTTTGGTTTAACATCGACATAAGCTTTGGAAAGCCTATTTGTCTGATTAAATTTTGGTTAGAATCTGATATAGTCGATATATAACAATGGAAGAATTTTAATCTTAAACATTTGAATGAGGAAACTAATAATATTCCAAGAATTCAGCGCAGACCGGCTTGTGATATTTATTTTGCAGTCAGACTAAATGCGCCGTAAAAAAAAATAAACGCAAAATCAAAAATAAAAGAGATGTTTATTATATCATTCCAAGAGTGATACAAATATATATTTATATTAAAAATATTATAAATTATCTTGAGTAAGGAACTCCTCATCACCAGCTTTTCCTTCTGTGCCATCTGCGTAATCACTAGTCTTCACATTATAATGTGTACCTCTATATCTTATGATAGCAATGACAACAGCAACAATAATTGCAGCCAAAACGATAAATCCAGCTACACTAATTACTGCTATCATGACCTTGTTTTTCTTTGCCTTATTATCATCCTGTTCGTCAGAAGAAGATGGTGTAGCATCAGGAGTAGATGAAGGAGAAGCAGAAGGAATTGTTGTTGGAGGTGTTGTATAGTGAAGGTAGTCAAGCTTTTCGGATTGTCTTTGTTCTTCGTTGAACAAGTTGAAATCGATTACTAATGGAAGTAAATATGGATAATAGGATGTAAAACCTTCAATTGATAAATCGCCTTGGACGTATGAGTTATTGAAGAGAATTGTAGAGTTTCCATCTTGTGTATTAACTCTTAGTAAGCTTGGATCGTTAGATGTGCAGTTAACAACGTTTAAAAAGTCGAAAATCAAATTACTTTGGAAAATGATAAGCAATGGATACGATTCAATGATTGTTGCATTTGTATTCTGTTGGATACCAAGAAGTAAAACATTATGGAACTTGCCTGTGCAGTTTTTGACTTCAATTAATGCATACTTTTCAACAATGCAGTTTGCAAGCATTACATTGGAAACTTTGTCAAACCCACTATCTACATAGAAGCCTCCACAGTATGCAGAGACACAATTTGAAATATTAAGGTTATTGAGATCAATATGGCCATTAACTGCTGCAATAGGACGTTGGCTAGTGACCTCTCCTTATGACAAGCTGTCCTTCCAATATCTGTCTACCGAAGACTTTCGGAATTTTCGCCGCCATTGTATATAACTTTTTTTTACAAAGATACTCCCCCTACATTTAGAACTTACGTTTTGATTGTCGGACTGCTGGAAAGATTTAGACTAATTGTGTTTACATTTGTTCAACTGAGTGCATGGTGTGTTAAAGCGGTTATATAGAACAATGCACATAATTAGATTTCGAATAAGGAAAATTTATTTCACTTTCCCAAGATGAAATGAATTATTATGTATTAACTTCATTTAAGGTATTTGAAGTTTCTATATTTTAATATGTTTATCTCCTTATGTAATAACGTTTCCAAATTGGGAGAGTTCAAATTATCTGACAGGTTCATTATCATATCCCTTCTGGAGTAAAATAGGTATACTGTGCTCTCAGTTTCAAAAGATGAGTTTCGAAATCTAATCAGATAATTCATATATATATTAAAATACCAAAATTCATATTCTTTCTCAGTGTCATGAAAAAATATAAATTTCAAAGTTAGATAAAATAATTTTTTTTTAATTTGTTAATGAGTTTAATTTTTTTTTAAACTCCAACAGCTTCTTCCATTGATGCATCCTCATGAACTTGGTCATCATTTGACTCTTTTTCTTGTGAATCCTTCTTCTTCTTCATGATGAAGAAAACGACGACACAGACAATTGCAATGACGATCAATAGACCGATTATTATTCCTGCAATTAATCCTCCATTTCCACCACCTGGGCTAGGGTAGTCAAGTTTTTCGAATTGTCTTTGTTCTTCGTTGAACAAGTTGAAATCGATTACTAATGGATGTAAATGTGGATAATAGGATGTAAAACCTTCAATTGATAAATTGCCTTGGACGTATGAGTTATTGAAGAAAATTGTAGAGTTTCCATCTTGTGTATTAACTCTTAGTAAGCTTGGATCGTTAGATGTGCAGTTAACAACGTTTAAAAAGTCGAAAATCAAATTACTTTGGAAAATGATAAGCAATGGATATGATTCAATGATTGTTGCATTTGTATTCTGTTGGATACCAAGAAGTAAAACATTGTGGAACTTGCCTGTGCAGTTTTTGATTTCAATTAATGCATACTTTTCAACAATGCAGTTTGCAAGCATTACATTGGAAACTTTGTCAAACCCACTATCTACATAGAAGCCTCCACAGTATGCAGAGACACAATTTGAAATATTAAGGTTATTGAGATCAATATGGCCATTAACTGCTGCAATAGGACGTTGGTTAGTGAAGTTATTATAAGGCGCGCATTGTTCGATGGAGCAGTGTGTTATTGTGTTGATACAGCTATCAGAATTTGTAATTGCCATAGCCCACTGTCCTTGATGGTAAAAACTGACATTAGGGTCTGATGAGTATGTATAACATAGCGAGCCAATGCATTTTTCAATGTAAAGGCCATTATCCTTGCCAAGAGGATCAACGAAAATTGCGCCACCAGCTCTTCCAGACCTGCATCGGGTAAACTTTGAAAGAGTTATAGCAATTCGTACGGAATTTATAATGTTAATTGCACCACCGGATGAAGTTTCACCCGCATTTAAGAGAGAAAATTCAGATGCAGCAACGTAAACATTTCCTGCAGTTGCGTTGACCGGACTATTGCATATGGAGAAGGGCTGTGAAAGTCCTGGAAAGTAATCAGAGAATTCTTTCACCATTTATAATAATTTCAATTACATGACGATAAAATTTATTTCAATCTCCGGTAATAACATTTTTCAAAGTACTACTTAAGTATAGGTAACTATTTTTATTTAATTTTCAAAGAAAATATCAAATTCAATGAGTATCGTTCGCTTCAATAATATTGTTAAGGAAATTAATCTAATTAAAATTCGGTAAGCTTTAAATCAAATATGTTTTTGCCTAAATTCAATAAATTTGTTTACGAATGATAAACAATATGGTACGATGCATTCTGGCCCGATCGATCAAAAACATGAGTGATGAATCAATCGAATGATATAGCAGGATAATATGAAATAGCAATCAAGAAGTTTAATACATTTTCAATAGGGTTGTTAAAAATATCAAAAATTAGCGTTTTGAAGACACCATGGTGTCTTATAATTTTCCCTTCCTTATTGGCGTGTAGAAATAAATGTGTCAATAGATTGAAGAAGAAGAATTGTTTTTCTCTTAATGAACTTTAATCCTTTTGATATAAGAATATTAAAAACATTAATATAATTTCGATTTCGGAAATTAAATTTCCAAATTTTTTGTCGATTTCGAAATAACAGGATCCCGCATCCAACACGCAACAACAAAACACAAAACACACTTTTGTTCTTTCATCTTTAATCGTAATTTATGTAATACATGATTTGGATAAATTTACAAAAATAGAACCTATATTATATTCTTTTCAAAGATTCTTGCAAATCATCAAAAATAATTGTATTTTAAAAAACGATCAAATTATCCTTTCATTATTTTAAACCTAAATTAGTTTTTATGATTGACTAAAGCAATCATATTTATTCATCATTAAATAAACAAAAAAATAATATTTGAGTGTTATTTCAAAAAAAAACACATTGAATTTATTAATTTGTCTCAATTTCAGTATTATAAATTTTTATAATTTCAATATTTTGAAATACACTTTTTAATATTTCAATTTATGATATTTCATGTATTAAGTGGTCTCAAATTGAGCTTCTCAAATATAAGTTGGCCTATTCAAATAATAAAATTAAATAAATTTAAAATAATAAATAAAAGTGATTGAGGTCATAGCAAACGGCTGTTTCAGTCATTAATTCTTAAAAATAAAAAGGGTAAAAACTAAATACAATGGGTAAAATTCAATAGTGTCTGTGCTATCGTTCAATTTGAAGGTGTCTTTTGAAACCGCAAGACACATTGAATTTTTGAATAGTGTATTATGGTTTGACAGACACCAATGAAAAAAATAAAATGATATTTATTTAAATATATAAGATCCTTAATAAAATATAAATATTTTATCGTTTTATTTTCTTGTTTTAGAAATCTTTTTTATTGAAAAATCAATAAACTAACTCCAAATAAAATTTTTGATTTAAAGACACTATGATGACACCAGGCAAATCTTCCAAGACACCTATCGTCGGGAATCTAACAACCCTAATTTTCAAGATCAATAAGGCATAAAGCAATCGAATAATTGTTAATATTAAGTAGATTATCTCTATGTAAAGCTATGTTAATGAGTTACACAGAAACTGATTTTAGAAATGATTCAAATATTTGAGGCTCCTTTAAAAATAAGGATTTCAAAGTTTTTTACATATTTTGTTCTTAATAACTAGTCGGAAGAAGCAACCATTCTTAAATCAAATTCTTAGCTTTTCCATGAAAAAATGAAATTTGAAATTGATATCCAGTGTACATCAGATTTTATTGTATGTGAAAGTTTCAACCCATATTTCTATATTAATTACCGAAAAATTCAATCGAATCAAGGTACTATATCAAGTTCAGAAAGCATTGTTAGTTTAGAGCTATGAGGAGCTTCTAAATTAAATAAAATACATTATGGTAAATGTTTATTAATTAGAAGCAAATTATCGATGGATAAATTGATATCAATGTTTTTTTATTGTTTTTATAAACGTTATGACTAAAATAATAAAGAACAATGCTAAAAACTTAAAAAATCGACTGATTTTCCAGTGTGCAACCCAAAGAGAAGTCTTTACAATTTTTAGATTGTTTGAAAACGATGAGTTGGGGATATCATATAATACTAATATTCCATCAATATAATCCATACACAAGCTTTTTATCTTCATTACTCTCGGTTAAGATTTTTTATAATCATCGCAAATACTTTGCCAATCATATGGCCGAAGAAACAATATACGTATTTACATATAATCTCTTTATTAAACAAAACAAAACAAAAAAATAAAAACAAAAAATAATAATATTAATGAGAACCGGTATAAGATCTTCTTGCTACAGAAGTAGCTGATCTTATTCTTGATTGAAGGTTTGGAGCTACAATAGCTGCTCTTTTAGCCGTTTGTACTAAAGACCTTCTCGAAATGCTTTCCTTTTCTTTATCTTTGATATCACTTTTTGCGGAGAAAATTGAGTTATCATTTCCTTCATTTTCAACAGCTTTTCTTTCTTTTATCTCTCTGTAATACTTTGCGTTGATGGAATTGATTGTGAGTTTGACATTTGCCAAGAAGGTTTTATCTGTAATGTAACCACTTGACAACATCAAATTCAACAGTTTCAAACTTTGTTTCATCAACAAAACATTGTCATCCAAATTGATCAATTTTCTCTGGTTCTCTATGAATTTGTCATTTGAAATTAATTCATAAAGAACTTTAATGCATTTGTCAAACCGCTGGAAATTGGCGGTTAAATACTTCAAAATTTCAATTGATTCGTATTGAACAGTAAATTTAATTTTCCTGCTCAAACTTGGCATTGCATCACACTTTAGACAAAGAGGATTTGTTATCATTTCATCGATAAAGAACCTAAACATTGTTTCGACACATTCAACAATTTTTGTTTTCAGACATGCGATGAACAAATTAAATCTGACTTGTTTCTGGATTTCGTACAATTCGAGGACTTGTTGTTCAACGGAATTCTTCTGTGCACACGTCTTGCAGAAATTGTAATCACGATGGAAGATAAGTGTCACTTTTTCAATATTATTTACAACGTAAACAAAAAGTGGCGAATTTCTTGGCATTTCTTCCAAAATGAACAAAATGCATTGTGAGAAACAAACAATTACACGTGTTGCCGGGTGGCATTTAGATCTTGATTGAGGGATCTGCATTGTGCACCACTCGAAGATCTGATTCATGAACATTTCCGACCAACTTGCTCTCGAACTTCTCCAGAAATAACAGATGTTTTTGAACAAAGAAAGCATAATGTCACATAACTCAACAATTATCGATTGTGTTGTTGCGACATTTAATTCCTTGGCTTTGTTCTTTGCTTTGAGAAATGTTGTCTCTTTCAAGTCAAATCTGGCTGCTCGTAATACTTGCGTGTCAAAAAATTTGGTGACACTTTCACTTTCGCGTAAAATAACCGCCATTGCCTTTGAAAAATATTGAATTGATTCTTGTATTGGCGGGACGTTTGGCAGTTTGTCCCTGAACGAAGAGTATTGGTACAAAAACATTGTTTGCGTTAATTGCTTTCCTAAAAGCCTTATTTCACTGATATCTAAGGTCATGTTTAATTGGTTATAATCTAAAACAGGGGTTATCGGTATATCCCCCTGAATTAAATATTTTTGGAGGTGAGATGATTCCAAAATCAATTTTTGAGTGTGGATGCAACTTGTTCTTAATATGTCAGTAACTAAATTAAAGATCTGTTGTTCGCGGAGAGTTTCGAAAAGGTCCCACATTATTCCACACATTGTAACATCAATTGTCGCATTGAAAGAGTTGAAAAGAACAATTTCTCTGACAACTTGAAGTGTCTGATTTCTTATTGAATCATTTCCAGCGACAATTTTCATCATGTTGCAGCAATGTAATAATGTTATAGGACTTACAACAGTCTTATAAAGAATTTGATATGTTGGATCATATGCTTTTAGTGTTGTTGCCTTGAGAACACTTAAAAGGAACGAAACAGCTTCAATTCTTGCAGATTGCAAATGCAAACAATGTAAAACTTTGTGGATAATCTTGAAATCAACGAAAATTCTGGCAGATGATGTAGACATTCCGCCAGAAAACATTGAGTTCAATGTTTTGATTGCATTTCCTTTCTGTTTTTCAATACCGTAACATAAGGAATGTGCAAGATTACTTGCGGCTTCTCCAAATGAAAGAAATTGGTTGAAATACCAATCACTTTTCTCTTCATTCCGTTTCAAAGCATTGACAATGAAAGAAGAAGTACTTAAAATATATCGAATCAATCCATGAACTTTTGTATGCGTGAAAACAAACAAAGTACTTTGATCTTCAACAGTCAAAAAGCTGAGGCTTTCGAAGTTATTCAATATCTGAGCACTCGAAAATGGCAAATAAGGATTTGCTGCATATAATCCAAACAAAGCCATGACAGTTTCATTTGTATAAGGTGTCAAAGGTCCTTGACCAGGTTCTACAGAAGAAACGAATCTCATGAAGAAATGAAGTAACTTTGAGAAGTGTTTGTTATTATAAGAAATCGTTGGAACAACATCTGACAAAGTAATTTCTTCTGACATTCTTTTAATGACGAAAATTACGAATTGATCAACAAATCTGAGTTGATACATCGTATTAACGACTCTCCAGTTACTTTGCATATCTAATGGGTATGCAAACTGGCTGTCGCTCTCATCGTGCTCGTCATGGAACATAAGAGATTCAACAACACCTAAAACAAATGAAAAAGTGTCACAATTAATTGATTTGAAAACAGGGGAAATGAACTGGCTGACGAAAATATCTGGGTTATGGACTTTCAAGTACAAATCAACTGTTTCCGTAAACGTAGATGGTTGATTGAATGGATATGTCCTTAAAAGTTGTTCTATCGGCGGACGTTTGGCCGGATCAATTTGTAAACACGTTGCGATAATTTCGATGAACAATTTCGATTCATCGTAATTAAGTTTTGTGTTTTTGTAAGGAAGTAATGAATAATGTTCCAATTGTAATATCGAGGAGTATTTGATATTACATTCATCTGTCTGGATAAACACTTCTCCGCATTCTCCAGTACATTTTTCCAAAGAAGAAACAACTTTGAAGTCTTCTAACCAATCATAGAAAAAGTTTGGTTTTGGATAAATGACATTTTCATCCAAAACTCCTTCAAAACTTTGTTTCTCTGATTGACACTTTTTAATTGTTTCTTGCGATAAAGAAGACATCAAAACTTCTCCATAAGATTTTGGTAAATTTCCGGTCAAAATGTACAACAAAAGCATTCCAAACTGCCAAACATCGAAAGCTGTTGTCCATTCCGAAGCTTTCTTGTGGAAGAACTCTGGAGGAAGGAAAGGATTCCTGTAATCAGTGAATTTTGGTGGCAAAGGAATTGCCAATTGACTTTCCAAGAACTGAGAATCCAAAAGAGAACCAATCATTACTTGGTTTTGAAAACCATTCAAGTAAATGTTGTCTGGATAAAGAGTTCTCAATATAATGTTCTTCGAATGCAAGTTATAAAGCATCGAAAGACATCTAGAACAAATAGATTTCGCAACAGACAACAAGCGAGGATCAGCGCCAAGAAAAGAATGAACTTTCAGGAAATAAGAAAGTGGAAGACTTTTCATGTCTTCTGTCATCACAATTTTGGTGAATCCTTCAGTGGAACTCGTCATGACTTGAGGAATACAAATTGATACTTTTCTGCTGACAAATGAATATTTTGACACGTTGTCAATTTGTACTGACAATTTTTTGTAAATTTCTGGTGTCAAAACGAACATTCTCAAGAATTGTTTTTGGTCCATGTCTCTTCCGTATTGAACATGTGTTGGGAAGAGTTCAAATGACGTGCGATGGAAGATTTCGGTCAATTCTGGATTTCTAAATGGCATTTGGCAGAATTTTATGTTTGGATCTGGTTCTTTTTGTGTCAATTTCAAATCAATTGGCTGAACAGGCAGCATTTTGTCCAAAAGATTCTTTTCAAATGATTTATTTATGGATTCTTGAACGCGTTTCATCAATTCATGCTTAACCAAATCTCCTAAAATTTCTAATTTTGTCACTTTTTTCGATAAAGTATCAATTTGGAATTTTGAAAGCCATCTTCTTGATGTTGACTCAGCATCTTTGCCTTCCATAGCTTTGGAAACTGTGAAAGAACTCAAGGAATAGTTCAAGCATCTCAAAGGATTAATTTGCTTAATAATATTTTCAATATCTTCTTGTGAAAAAGTGACATCAGTTATACAATTATGAATTCCTTGAGTAAAAACTGGCAAAAGATTGTTATAAACACTTAAGTTTGGCTCTTGATCTTGTTTATCACCATCACTTGATAGTTTCTTGTCTTCAGGAGCGAATCTCATCAAAAATTGACAAAAATCCGACAAATTTTCTGTCAAAATTCCAGATCTTTTCATGTAATGAAAAGCTTCGTAAGCGGAGATTCTTTTTTCTTCGATTTGAGGCAAGAAAGGATAAATCTGCCTATAGATAGCCTTGCTTATATGATCTGTAAGAGAAAACTGCTTTTGAGCACCAGGATAAAACAAATTTCTCATTTGTCCGGAAATTGCAAGCGAATCAAAATGATCCAAAACACTCATTTTGTTCAAAAACACATTTCTCTTGTTATCTCTCAGATGTAATGTCTGGTTACACTCTTTTATACCTGTCTTCTGAGCTTGCAACGGCTCATAATATGTGAATTTATCAAATTCAATGGCAGGAACACTTTGGCTATCGTTTACAACCGAAATTGTCGATACAGAACCGTTTGACAAACTTCCAACGATAAAAGAAACTTTGTCTGTTAATGTCAAAACATAAATCTTCTCAGGAGCAGATGTATATCTTTGTGACCTGAATTCTGTGAACATTTTCCTTGATTCAGTGTATTTCATTGGTCCTAAAATTGTATCAGCAATCTTTTTCTCGTAATTATTCAATAATTTGTTCTCTGGAATACGAAGAGGAATCTGTATGTCCTGGCTGAGATAGCACCTTAACGTGGCATCTTCACAGGATACATAGAAACATGGTGGCTGCTCTGTATAACAGATATCTATCGGTGGAGAAGGAACAGAAAATTGACCAAGATTTTTAATGAGTTCAATTCTCTGATGTAGTTCGTAAATTATAATATTTCCGTCCAATGACCAGACAACAATGTATTTTCCGCATTGTTTGGCGTGAGGAATGGATTTCATGTCTTTGTTTCTGATGATGAATTTATGATTAAATTCATTTGAATAGATATAGATGTCATTCGTGTCAGTGAACTTACAGATGTATCCGTATGGTGCATTGTTGAATGAAACAGGTGTCATTTCGGATAATTTTGTAAATTGATAATTAATATTAAATAATGTTTCGCGAGAAATCATCAGAGCGGGCTGTAATGTCAATGGATCAACACAGTATATGTGTCCACCTTGATACAGTAAGTTTACCCATAACATTCCGAAAGCATCGAATGTCAAATAATTCTGAGATTTTGGAATTTTGTTTGGAACGTTGAATTTACGGGAAATGATGGAAACTCCTTGTCCAAATATATGTAAGTTCCATCTACTGTCAAAACCAACTACTTGTCCACTGAATGGCTGTATGGCAACGTCTAATAAAGGTGAATTAGTTTGGTATTTCGATGCTCTAAGGACTCTGTCGCTTGTAAAGTTCTCAAAAGTAAGCATTGCCCATGAGGAGCATGAAGCAACTACATATAGACCTCTATCGTTGAAGCAAAGTATTTCTTTCGCCTTTTTAACTTGAACTGGTTTTGTACATCTCTGTAATAAAAAGACAAATGGACATTGAACAAGGCGCTTCGAGTACCTTTCATTACGAGCTTGAAGATCATCGCATTGATCTAGATATTTATTAAATGTGGAAATGAATTGAGGTAATAATTCTGATTTTGCCCATTGAACATTTGCTTTTTGCTCATACATAAGATCATCTCGAGTGTTCTGTGCAAGTCTTCTTGGATCTTTATCGTGCCAAGGAGGTGGTAAATCGATAAATGTTTTTCGTTTCATTGATTTTTGCTTTTTTGGTGATGCTTCTTCATCAGGTACTTGAGGTTCAGGAATTGGAGCTTCACTACGGGCACGTGATAATGCTTCTCTTAGATTTGATGCTTTTGTTGGGGAAGGATTTGGTAAATCAGAGATTGAACCTGTTAATGTCTTTGTTGTGTATTCTGTAGTACATATATCCCTTGAAATTGATGGATAATATGTTAATAGATCGTCAAATTTGGAAAGATAATTTAATTCTTTACGTGTATTTTTTCTTTGTTTGTAGCGATGAACAACACGACCTATGAGTTTTAATGCACATATTTCTTTAACTTTTTGGATTTTCTGACGCATAAGATGAAATTTCCATGCATTTTGGATTTTTAATGCGTTTCTATTCTCTAAATCAAGCATAGAAAGATGCTTTCTATAACTGTAACCACGGAATATCGATTGGATTCTGACTACGACATCGATAATTTGTAAATTCGGTGCTTTAATCTCATCCATCTCGAAATTCCAAATAACGTGTTTTCAAAAATTTTATTTGAAGTTGATTTCATTATAAATAAATTTAGCTACAATGGACTTTCCTGATTAATAAACTAGAATTCAGGGAAAGGTCATAGATCTAAAAAATATGATGAATTCAGTCGGGCTTTCTACGGGAGCGCAAGCCCTTCGAAATTACTAGCATTGGCTACCATAATATATGCAATCAAAATTGTTAGTTAATATAAAATAGCATGAGATGGTTAATTTAAATAACGAAATCTATTGTAAAGAAATGAACTCTGATATGGGGATTTAATATTACTGAAAAGGACTCTTCTTTGTGAATATTTACTTGATTTCGTAAATTCTTGAAATAACAGTTAAATTAATTTGTGCCACAATGAATGAATAAAAATTACATGTTCATCGAGGTAATATGTCTTGCATGATTCAATTTTGATAAGTTTACAATTCAAATTATCAATGATTCATAACAAAACTTTTATTTATTCTATCATTGCTCCAAAACAAACAAAAATCAACAATATCAAGACAATCCTATAGAGTTTTTGCAGATGAAATCTTTTATTTACCATAATAAACAGAAAATTTGATGATTTATACTTAAATCTTCAAAATAAATATTTAAATTTTGAAAAATGAACAAAAAATTATATCTTGTTTCATCCTACAAACTTAATTGCCATATTTTGGAAAAAAAATCTCTGCAAAAAGATTTTGTTAAAATTGACCAAGAGAATTAGAACAAGAAATATATTTGTATTGTAATTACAATTGCAAAAATTAATTTTTTTTTAATTTTTTGATAAAATTCTCATAAAAACATTTATATGTTCTAAATTACGAATGATTTTCAATATACTTCCTGAAAAATCACTTCTGAGTAATATATCTTTTTGGAATTTTAATTTCGATTTAACGAAAAATTCGAAAGCGAATTTAAGTTAATAATTGGCATCATTAATTATGGAATGTGATACAGTAATTTTTGGTCTTTAGTGAATTTCAGTAATAGTTTTGAATAGCTTTCAAAGTTTAGGAGGATAAATATTAAAAATAATGTTTTAATTATATTAGATGAATATTAAAAATAATTAGATTTTTTTGACCAAACAAATTTAAATATTTTATTAAAATTAAAACTCTATTATATGTAAGAAATCAAATAATTCTATTTGATATCTAAATTTTATTTATCCGATTCATTTCAAAAATTGAAAACACCAATTCAATTCATTCAAATCTTGAATTTCATGTAATTAATAATTGATGGTCAAGCATATTAGAATGCTATTTTCGATTAAAATATAGAAGAAAATGAATAAAATCTGACAAACATAACCTCAAAATCCAATCAAGAATTTTCTCAATAATCTCTCTAAATTCAATATTTCAACAATATGCTTTTATAGTTTAACCGAAAGATTTCAATAAGGATATTTTTCAATGTTCTGTCAAACAGTTTCCATATAATCGAATAATATTTCCCATGATCGTATTTATTATTGACAAATCATTAATTCTAATATGCTTGACCATCAAAGAGAGTTCTTGCAATTTCGAATAGATCTGCGCATTGTATGAAATGGAGGCTTTAAAATATCTTGAAAACAGAATAGGACTGCTTTTCCAAAGGAATGCTTACTTGTAAATCAGAGAGTTTCAAAATTGAGACCAAGATTATCATCATAACTTTCGATTTTGCTGCGAAAAAGGAAGACAAGTAATTAACAAATCATTTACTGTTGTTCATCAAAAGAAGAAAACTTTGATAACAACTAATGATGATAAAATCAAGCTATCTTTTAATATTTTAAATTGATAAGACATTCAAAATATTTGAATGGTTTAAAATATTTTCTTTTAATTTCTATAAGATATTATCATGATTATATAATAAAATTTAAATTTTTATTCAAAAAGGCAATATTTCAAACTTTTAATTTCAAAAATCTTAATTCTGCAATAAGTGTATTTAATTGTAGCAAATTTAATGATCTTTCGTCATGCTTAGCAATTTGGAACTCATAAATTAATGATTTCTTCAAGTAAAATTCTGCATTATTTCAAAAGTCAATAATTCTCTAGTAACTTTTCTTCAAACCCTAACCATTATATTATATGTATAATGGAGAATAATTGCAAAGAAAAATAGCCGAATTTACTGGGTAGTTCTTGTGATGCGAAATAATTGCAAATTAACACATAGTTTTAACAGCATCAATCTCTTTTTGCTCTCATTTAAATGCATTCGCACACTTTAATTTTGAAATATAAGAATTTTGGAAATTATCAAATTTATCTGCTCAAATACTATAGATCTTCATAAGTGTTAATAGAATCATTAGCCTTACATATAGTGTTTAATATAATGATGCACATTATACTGGGATTCATTCCTTATTCATCTAGTTATTATAAGATTTACAACCCCATGAAAATTTAAAATTTTGTCAAAAATAGTGAATGTACCTTTTTATCTGTAAAATCAAATTGAATCTGATTTTTAAAAAATTTCCAAATCTAATTGGATCTCTACAAATAATACAACAAATTTATTTTTTTGATTTTAATTTTTTAAGTACATCGAAGTATTCAATTATTTTCGATGGTGTTAGAAGTAAGTTATTCTACTAGAACTACTTTTAACATCAAAAACGGAACTCTGAAAACAACTTATAATGATAATGGATATCAAGTTGTATTTAAAGTTGATGGAACTCAGGTTAATGTTCCCGGAACTTCAACTAACGGCAAGGCATCAAATGGAAATTGTAACATCGTTACAACCTTATCATTGATTTCATTAAATATGTTTGTAAATGTAGGATTTACAGTTTCTTGTACAGATCAAGCAAATCATACAATTGGAATCGCCGTACATGCTGATATTTCAATTGGCAATGTAGATTCAGCTCCGATTACGAATATAGAAGGTGACAGAGGCTTTATTATGTCCGATGGAACAAATTCGGTAAACATGTTGTTAAGAGATAGCTATGGTTCAATTAACGTAGATACGTATTGGTATGGAGGATATAGTTCAAGAACATCAAATTTATGGAAAAATGGTACACAAAGTAGTCCAACATATTACGATCTTAAAGGTGTTGATAGTGGTATGGCATTTTCTTGGGACAATAGGCTTTGTCAGCCTGGCGAAACTTTAAGATTCTCCCTCACATCAGGTATTGGTAAAATTATGAAGCCACCTGAGCTGAAAATGACTAAAATTCCAAAAGATAAGTACCAAATGAATCCTGACTTACAAATCCCTATTGCTGGAACTGTTTATCATCCAGATGCAGATCGTACATGCATTGTTCGTTACTATATTGATGTTGGAGAAGAAATAGAACTTGCATCTGGCCTGGACGTAGGTCAGAAAACTGTTTCGTTCAGTGGATATGTCCAAATTCCTATTTTATCAGGTGGATATCATACAATGTTCTTTTATGCTCAAGATAATAAAGGTATTCCTTCAAATGCGGTCAATGTAAGGTTCTATTATGATCCATTCCCACGTACTGTTAAAAAAGCAAAGAAGAAATCAGTAAATTCCTTGGCACAAATCGCTGGACTTTATAGTCTTGCAAATGAAGCTTAATTTACAGTGGTATGCTGAATATGGCATGAAAGAAGTATAAGGAATGATTATAATAGTTGTTTTTGTTTGTTTGTTGTTTTTTACTAAAATATTTTGCGTGTATTTTATTTATAAAATTTTATTGACACAAAGTTGCAATATCACACAATGATAAGTCAATTTATGCATTGCTTTCAAGTGTATCGATCAATGCATATTCTCATATCATTACCTTTTACCATATAATTTTCAAAAGTTAATTAAATATTGCAGTTAATAAGGAGTATATCGAACATTCATAAAAAGTTCTGGAATGGCATATTATGAATAAAAAAGTAGCTTTGAAAAATGAAAAATATACTTTCATCAATCTGAGATGTAAAGTAATTAACGCTGAATTTCAGGATAATTGAATCAGAATGATGAACAAGATGGTATGTTGAGTCGATGCTAAATCTTTCGAAAAGGTTTGTTTATCCGGCCAATTTAGATTTGTAATTGTGAAGAAAAATTTTGCGTTTACACTCAAATTATTATCGACTTCATTTCATATTATGGCTGAGAATCTTATCCACTTCGAAGGTTCCCTTGATGAACTTAAGGCAAAGATTGCTGCTGCTACAGGTCTCATTGTTGTCAAGTTTGGCTCTACAACATGCATGCCTTGCAAGAGATTGAACCAAATGTTACCAAACATTGCTAAGGAGAATCAAGATGTCCAATTCTTGATGGTTGATATTGATGATAAGGAAGATTTCCGTAATGCATACAAAATTTCTTCAGTTCCAACAGTTTTATACTACAAGGGAAATCAGAAGCTTGATGAAATCATTGGTCTCAAAATCCCAGATCTCAAGGCCAAGATTGCCCAATACAAGTAAAATTACATGTTTTTCATTTTTAATATAAAAAAAAAATTTTATTTCATTTCTCACACGAAATATACAGCAATTTCTAAAATAAACAAATATACTGCAAACTTTATATCTATAACAAACAAACAAATATATAAATTTTAAGAAGATTTGAGTAAAGTTTCTGTTAAACTATTGTCGTAATCGCAGGCATCATATATGCTAATTATTCTATGCAGTGTAAATCCGAAATTAACCATTTTATCAACAAAGGCTTTTTGACCAGGATTCAAATTATTGTAAGTTTCTTTTGCAACTTTCGTAACTTCATCTTCGGTTTCTTTACTTGCTCTTTGTGAAAGGGAAGGCGAGTAAATTTGAGGCTGGAGTTCTTCAACGATACCATTACCTGACATTAATAAATTAACAGCTCTTTCAGGGTTGTAATTGCATCTCCTTAAAGCATTTTCTGAATATTTACGTTCAAATCCCATTTCAGTTAGATTTGAAACAAGTTCCGAAAATTCAGGAGGATCTTTGTAAGAATTTGATGAAGATTGGCTTGGAGTAAATCTTGGTGGCTTTGGTGACTCCGGTGGTGGCATTGGAGGCTTTGGTGACTCCATAAATTTATTTTTTGTATCAGAGTGCTTAACTTTTGACTTATGATGCTTATCAATATTGGATTCTGTTGACATTAACGGTTTGTTTTCTGTTGATTTCGGAAATTCAAATATAGGCATTTTAATTTCGGGCTTTTGACCAACAGACTTGGTATCGTTAATAGGAATTTCAAGTTTCGCTTTAAGACTTGGGCTTGGGAGATTCTTCTTAGTTGTATCTGGTTTTTCATCAATAATCTTTTCTTTGGGAGATTCGTAAGGAGTTATATTTTCAGGCTTTGAACTTGAAGAATCATTCTGGCTTGGATTTGAGATGTTTTGTTTAAATAATTTTTCCATATTATTATTCTTATTCTCAGATAGTTGATTGACATTATCAGAACTTTCTAACGAAGGTTTTTCCTGTGGCATATTAACTTGAACTGAACTTAGTGCTGTAGGAGTTTCAGATTTGACGTTATCTTGCTTTTGATCGACATTTTCGGAATTTTCGGATTTTGAAGGCTGTACTTCATTAATTTGTTGATTTTGTTGGATTAATTCCTGAGGAATTAATGAATTTGAAAGAAATTCATCAGGCGGATCAGGAACGATTTCAATAGCCAGATCTGATAAATCTGAAGCATCTTCCTTTGAAGATACTTCTTCTTTAGCAGGTAGATTAGTTTCTTCTGATTTGACTTCAGTGCTTTCATTTTCTTTAGTCTTGTTTTGATTTTCTTCGTTTTCTTTTGATGCGTTTATATGTAGTAATAATGAATTTTGTGGATTTTCATAAACTAGATTATCATCAATTTGGTTTTCTTGAGATGCTGCAAGAGGAATAAACATATCATCATCTAAATCATTTTCATGTTCGGATTCTTTTTGATTTTGTAGCTGTTGTTTGGTATTGTTATTATTATTCTTATTAAAGTTGTTGGTATCATTCTGAAATGAAAATTCTTGAGTGGAAGAATTATTTATATCGAAGTTTTCAAGCGTTAATTTTTCGTATTCTGGATCATCGAATTTTATTTTGACTTTGATTATGGAAAGATTACCAGAAGGTTCAACATTATCAAATTTGGAAAAAAGTACGTCGTTGGCTATAACATTGTTATTTGAATCAAAACATTTATATTTTCCATTTATACCACGCGTGGCTAATTCATTTTGAATTGATTGTAAGCATTCATCCTCGAAAACCATAAGTCTGTGCGTCCTTCCATATTGAGGAATATCAATAGTTAATAGATAATTTTTCATTCTTTTAAACTAAGATTGAATAGTTTACAAAAATAATCTAATTTCAAGATATCTTGTATATAATAAACGGAAAGATAAACTAGTTCAATTTATCTTTTAAACGTACAATTTAGTCACTTTTGACTCAAACGAAAATATATCACACATAATTAATAATATTTTTTTTATTTTCAAAAAGGAACTCTTTATGGGCCTTGAAAATACGCCATAGTTTACAAAAAAATACGTTATTTACACCCTGAGTCTTCTTCTAGAGATCTTTTTTAGATTTTGAAACAATCAAAAGATAGAGTATGATCAATGTATGCTATATTTAAGTTTATTCATAAAAATATCAATTCTATCATAGAGAAAAAGTATATTTAAGTTCATAAAATTGAATAGTTGTAAACTAAGGCAGTGCACCCTTAAGTTAAAAAAATGATTTATGACTATGCTAAACCATATTCGGACTTTAATGGAGCATTTGAAAAGCTTTTTCATATAAAATTCAATGATTCTGTTGAAGACATGCACAATATCATCACAAATGTTTTAATTTCGAAATATCAAATTACCAAAAACCAACTGTCACAGATCATTTTAAAAGCATTTCGATATAATTATGTATCAGGAGAAAATTATATAAAAATTTTCAAGAATATTGGCTTTGATAACAAACTTTCGGATTTAACATTCCCATTGGAGGGTTCAGTCGAATTTATTGTTATGCACGATCAAATTGATAAGTTTAAGGAATATATTTCACAAAGAGAGCTTAAAAATGATATTTTTTTAGAAATTCCTGATTTGAATTCAGGCTTCCGTTTCAAGTTATCATTAATAGAAACATGCGCATATTTTGGATCCGTAAACATTTTCTTTTTCTTAATTTCAAACCAAAATTATACAATATCAGAAAGATGTCTACAATTTTCTTTATTTGGTAGAAATACTGACATTATAAATGAATGTTTAAAGGGAAATAAAATGGATAAAGATTGCCTCAGAGACATTGTATGTTCACATAACAACGAAATGCTTGAATACGTTTTAGAAAGAAATATTTTTACATATAAAGATTTCGAAGGAGAAAACTCCAATTCAGCAGCTATTTACGAAGATATTATCAAGTACCAAAACCTGAAAGCTGTGTTTATTCTTTTCGAAAGAGAGAAAAAATTCATAGTTCCATGGTGTGCTGCATTTCCTCAAACAATAGATATTCTCAAAAATGAAAAACTTCCTGATAAAATTGATTTTAAGAAAAGAAATATTCTACAATACGCATGCATGTCACAAAATTCCGATATCTTCAAATTTTTATTAAACTCAGTTGATAAAATTGATGTCAATTATCGTGATGTAGATAAAATGACAGCTCTTCATTTCGCCGCAATGTATAATAATATAGATGCAGCAAGAATTCTTATTTCTCATGGAGCTGATGTAAATGCTAAAATATTCTTTTTCATTTCATACTAATCATTATTAAATGGCATTCTCTTTCATTTCATGTCAATCATTATTAAATGAAATATATTTTGAAATATTGAAACACCACTTTCTATTGCTATTAAGCAAAAGTCGATAGACATAGTTAAATTCTTAGTTGATCATGGCTCTGATGTCAATACTAAACTTATTTTATTTTGTTTCATATCAATCATTAACATATTACATTCTCTTTCATTTCATATCAATCATTTTTATATAAAATTCTCTTTTATTTCATATCAATCATTTTTATATTACATTCTCTTTCATTTCATACTAATCATTAACATATTACATTCTCTTTCATTTCATTTCAATCATTATTATATTACATTCTCTTTCATTTCATGTCAATCATTTCTATGTTACATTCTCTTTCATTTCATGTCAATCATTATTAAATGAAATATATTTTGAAATATTGAAACACCACTTTCTATTGCTATTAAGCAAAAGTCGATAGACATAGTTAAATTCTTAGTTGATCATGGCTCTGATGTCAATACTAAACTTATTTTATTTTGTTTCATATCAATCATTAACATATTACATTCTCTTTCATTTCATATCAATCATTTTTATATTACATTCTCTTTCATTTCATACTAATCATTATTATATGGCATTGTCTTTCATTTCATTTCAATCATTTTTATATTACATTCTCTTTCATTTCATACTAATCATTATTATATGGCATTGTCTTTCATTTCATTTCAATCATTATTATATGGCATTCTCTTTCGTTTCATGTCAATCATTATTATATAGCATTCTCTTTCGTTTCATATCAATCATATTTATATGAAATATATTCAAAATATATTAGTCACTTTTTGAGAGGAGGGACGACGATTAAAAAGTGAATATATATATTTTAATAGTTGCTTGATACTTTTTCGGGCTTATTTATAAGCCCGTAAAAAGTGTCACAACTATTTTGATATATTGAAACTCCACTTATTATTGCAATTTATAAAAATTCGATTGAACTTGTTAAATTTTTGATCGAACGTGGTGCTGATATCAATGCTAAACTCACTCAATTTCATTTCATATCAATTATTATTGTATGAAATTCTTTTTCATTTCGTGTCAATCATTATTATAAAACTTTCTCTTTAATTTCATACCTATCAATATCATATGGAATATATTTTGTAATATTGAAACTCCACTTTCTGTTGCCACTACACATTCATTTCTTAATCATTCGAATGATATTGTAAAATTCTTCGTTGATCATGGTGTTACAACAAAATCTATTTCTGATTAATGGCACAAAATATTATATATATTTTGTAATCTAATTCGTTGTAATAACATAACATCATGAACCAAATATTTAGAAGCTATTCGACTTAGACGGAAAACAAAAATTCTGAATAAAGAATATATTTCATGACTCATTCGGATATAGATATTATATTCATTATTTAATTGAAACTTAATTATTGGATGAATACGTTTTTACGATAAGTGTCAGAATCTTAAAGTGAATAATATAACTTTTTTATGAAAATTTGTTTTAATTTTAGTTGAATAGCATATGAAAATCCTCACTTTTTGCCACTTATCGTAGACAATTGAGAAGTTTACAATACTTAACTCTTGATAATGAAGTTTTTCAATTTATGAAAGAACATTGAGGAAAAAATTGTGTGAAGAAATATTTACCAAGAACATTATAAGATTCTAGACACCAATGGTTTGGGAAAATACAATTTTATACTTATGTGGATATTATTTTGCTTAAAAATTTAAGAATAATCGTATTTTGCTTAAAAATTTAAGAATAATCGTATTATTTTTCAGAATGGAGTTAGAACATAGAATTCATAACTTAAGCTCCTTATATGAATCTAAGAATATGTGTACAAATAGTTTATTCGTATTCATGTCCGTAAGAGTCGAATAGCTTCTAAATATATATAAAATATTTTTCGCTTTTACTTCAATTTTTTGAAAATTAACTCAAGCTTTCAAATAGGATATTTAAGTATAATTATATGCAATAATAGTTAATAATTTTCTCTCACTCTCAGTGAAGGCACCATTAGCATTAGAAATGTAAACCATTCAAAAATTGACAAGTACGCCTTTTGATTCGCAGTTTATTAATTTTACTAAATATAAGTATTATATTTTAATTCGATATTATGTATAACATTGTTATACATAAGAGTTACGCCTAATTTAGACAAACACAAATATATTTAAAGCTCATGAGTATAAAATAAACTAAAAAATAAATGATTTAGTAAGTACCAACTATTGTTAGATAATCTCTTACTATGCCTTTTGCATGAGTAAGTAAAGTGTTTCCATGTGAATCCATGACATATCTATTAGCATCTGCAGCCATAAGTTGCTTAACAACTTTAATATGATTTTTATATACTGCATAGAAAAGAGGAGTCCATCCAATCAAGTTTGATGCTTCAAGATTTGCCCCAACAGAAATTAGATACTTGACTAATTCATGATGGCCATTATATGCTGCACAAATGAGTGGAGTCCATCCACGAAAATTCATTGTTTCCATGCCACAGCCAATTTCAATAATGTATCTAACTAGTCTTATATTGCCTTTTTCTGATGCCAAGTGAAGAATATTTCTACCATCAACACCTCGCTTTTCATGGAGTCCTGCTTCACATGCCTTATAAATCATATTTTGATTGCCAACTTCAGCAAGTTCATCAATGAATTCGTAGATTGCCAGAATATCTTGGGATTTAGTGAATTCTGCAGAATTTTCGAACTAAGTGATATAGTTTTGTTTGACTGTATTTTGATTTGCATTGAGAAAGAAGAGCTTTGAAGTCTTTTGAGTTTAGATCTACTTTCGATAAAATAAAACGAATTTTTTCTTCATCAACAATATCAAAAACGGCTTCTTGCTTGATGATTTTATGTATATTGTCCGCAATAAAAACAAGACCTCCAATAAAACCTTCTCTTATATTTATTTTTTCATAATTCCAAATTCTAGCAATAAAACCTTCTCTCAAAGAAATTTTTATTGTTTCATACATCCAATTTCTAGTACCATGAGAAAGAAGCAGTTCAAGGACTCTTGAATTTTGATGGGCTATCACAAAAGCAGTTTTTCCGTTTTTATCTTTAATATAAGTTTTTGCTCCGTGAGACATAAGGACTTTTACCGTTTTCAAAAAACCCCAATTTTGCTGCTATATGAAGGGCAGTTTCTCCATTTTCATCTTGCAAATTGACGTCCACCCCATTAGAAATAAGATATTCAACGATTTCACCCGGAAATCCGACGGTTGTTTAAGAGTATGCACTTTTGGCACCTACTCTCATTTTTATTAATTTCAAAAATGATTCTGCGTAGTGATTTTTAAATTTCATATTGAATAACAACATGTGAACTACTTCTTTGGGAGAACATACTTTTGAATCAAACAATTGATTTTTAATGTTTTTGTAAATTAATTTTAATTCGTCATCATTTTCTGTTTTTAATATATATTGAATCGAAAACTTCGCAATAATGCAGGAAAATACTCAAAAACTCGATATATTGGATTTGAGGCTTAGTTTCCATAGCTTTACAACAAATGAATTCTTTTCCATTTTTTCAATTTATTACTCAAATTTTGTGATGTATTCAAGATAAAAATAAAAATTTTTATTGAAAAAATACATAAAGAATAACATCTTATTTACACATTTTGAATTGAAAATTCAAAAAGTGTTTTAAAGGTGGTAAATTTAAATTAAAGAAGGTGATATTATACATGAAAAATTGGTAGTATATCTCTCATTTTATTTTATAAAATCTTTTTCCTTCAGATTTTACTTAGTTTAGTCGATTCATATATCGAATAAATCAGTTAAAAAAAGTAAAAATTTAAAAGAATCAAAAATGACAAAAATACCAATGCATTTTCCCTAAAATTGACTGATAGTTTTTTATGTACTTTCATGCAAACATTGTTTGCAAGCATGCATTTGAGCTATATTCAAAATTTGGGGCATATGACCTCATCCAAGGTAATATTTTGGATAGGAAATGAGAACATAGACTGATCTTTACTTTGTGAGAGCACGTGTATTAATGGATTTTGGATTTTATAGTAGATAAACAATTTTTGGAATAGATAAAGGTAGATTTACGAATACAAAACGTTTTGATTGTTTCCATGCAAGAAATTTATTGATTATGTCTAAAGATCATTTTATTTAATTCTAATAATAATAAAATCATAAAAAAATAAAAATTATTTTAAAACAATCAATGGAGTTGTTCGTCAAACGGTGTTCTGTCATCCAACTGCTTCTGGAGTGAGTCAGCGAGTTCGTTCATCTGTTTCATTAAGTTTGCATGAGTGTTTCTGACTTCTTCCATTTCATCTGCTGCATCCCTGATCATTTGGATTCTAAGTTGCAAGTTTTCATTGACTTGAGCAACTTTAGTCTCAAGATTTGTAACAGTAGAAAGAGTATTCGTTGTACTTTCGTTTTGTTTGTCGATTGTCTCTCTGAGTCTCTTCAAAGAGTTCTCATTGTCCTGTTTATTCTTCTCGAGCTCTCCAAGTCTCTTATTAATGGCGTCAAGTCTTGTTTGGAGCCTCTTTTGTTCGTCATCTGCTTGTCTGATGTCGGATTCGAGCTCTTCGGACTTTCCATTGCCATTAGTAATCTCCTGGAGTAAGTTCTTGTTGTTCTCTTTGATGGTTGCGAGTTCTTCTGTCTTCTGCTGGATTTTATTGAGAAGATCTTCAAGGGCTGCCTTGTTTTGAGTGAGATTGTTGCTGTTGTTCTCAACCTTGTTTGTAACATCGGCCAATGTTTGGTTGTTCTGCTCTTGTTTCGTCTGATTTTCGGAAATGTCCTTGAGAAGCTGTTCGAGTTTGGCACTGAGCTCTGTAATCTTGGTTTCCTTGTCTTTGACGTCGTCTGTAAGAGTTTGGAGTTCTTTTTCGTGTGTGGAAATTTCGGTTTCGAGATTTATCTTTGTTTGAGAGATATCAGCGTTCTTTTGCTGGATTGTAGATTTCTGTTGCTCGAACTGGACCTTTTCTTTCTCAATTTTGTCGTCAAGCTGCTTCTTCATCGCATCTAATTCGCTAACAATGTTTTCGTACGATTTGATGCCGAAAGAAGCGAGAATATCTGAAGCTACTGACTTCTTCTTCTCAAGTGTCTCATGAACTCCCCTTGCAATTGCGTCAATTGCTGTGGCATTAATACTATCTCGGTCAATTTGAGCGAATACCTCTTTGTAGACATCCTCGATCGACTGTTGTGGCCTCTGTGGTGCGGATTCCGCTGGAGCGGCTGGAGATTCAGCTGCTGGCTCAACTTGCTTCGAACTGAGCTGAGCTGTAAGTTTCATGTTCTCGTCCTTGAGCTGGCTGATCTCATTAGCATAAATCATGAGGTTCTGACGATTTTGCTCTTCGACCATTCTGATTTTTTCAGATTTCAATTCGAGGTCGAGTTTGACGTTTTGGAGCTCTGTGTAGACGGCCTCGACGTTGCGGCCCTTACTCTTGGCAAGAGCACCGTTTTCGGCTTGAAGCTTGTCAATTCTTTCTTCTAACTCATGAACCATTTGTTCTCTGCTTGTAACACGGCTGCGGAGGTCATCAATGTTCTTTCTGTGTTGCTCAACTGTCTTTGAAAGTCTTGTTTCAAGCTCACTTCTGAGATTTTGCTCATCTGTAAGCATTGTGTTCAAAGATGTATTCAAAGCTTCGAGTTTTGGTATTGCTGAGCTAGATTTCGCCTTGTATTCTTCAAACTCGTTAACTAAATTGATATGTTTTTCAACAAGTGAACGATAAGCAGGATTTCCAATGATTGAGCGATCTGCGTTGATGTTAGTTTGTTGGATAAGCTTTTCTGCTTCCTTTATATCTGATACTTGTTGAAGATAAGCAACGGCAGAAAGATAAAACTGTGCATCACCATGAGAAAATAGGTTATTTACGAGTGTTTTCGCTTCCTCTGCCTCGGGTTGTGGCTTTTCAGCACTTACAATACCATTGTAGGCAAGAAAGAACTCTCTAATATGCTTGATTGCATCGCCAATCGAATCACACATTTTTTTGAATTTTTTTTTATAAAACTCTCCATTTACTGAAATTTAAAATGACACCTCATCAGGTCTTTAAAAATATTATATTTAAAATGTGTACATGATAGTTAATGTTTTGTGCACAACCTCATTGCGATTTTTTACATTTTCATCATCGAAAAAGAATTGTAAACATGCGTGGCTTCTAAAAGGAATATAAAATTATCTTGTAATACAGTAAAGTAAATGTTTCACGTTGTTTATTTTAAATATCTCATTCAAAAATTTCTTCAAAATATCTGAAATCATAGCAAACCTAATAAATATAAAGCCAAGAATTAAAAAACATCACTACATTTATATGCATTATTCAGCTCTTAAATAATGAAAGCCCAAAATACTATTCATATCGTTGAATAAATCGACAAATTCAAACTAAAATGTTCTTATATTCTTTACTGCTATTGACTTTTCTACATAAAAATACAGCTAAAAACCAAGTGGTGATCCCTCAACTTGTTTCATAAATATTCAATACAATATTGTTGTACTTGGTAGTAATAAGATAGTATGCTTTCAACTTAAATCTTATTATGCAATTGAATTAACTGGTTGATACTTGGCAATAGATGAATCTTCCTTAAAAATATTTAACAATTTGCATATCATGCACTTAAATTTACGAAGAATTTATTTTACTGCTGATAGAGAATATTACCATAATAAAATTTTTGAATTTGATTTTTAAAATTTTGTACGTTAGATGACTGACAAGAAAGAAGAATATGATTATTACTCAGATAGTGAAAATGAGAAACCCAATCAAGAAACAGAGCAACAACCTCAAACCCAAGCAAAATCTCCTGAAAATGAACAAGAAATTAAGAAAGATGAAAATGATTCTTCAAAAACAGCCGAAGAGTCATCAATCCCAAAGACAGATACACCAATAGAGGAAACAAACAAAGGAATCATGCAAGTTTCTCAAGTTTTAGCAGGTTCTACAAATAATGAAACAGATAAACAAGAAACAACTGAAACACAACCAGAAAACGAAGAAAAACCAAAGACAGATGAAGAAAATAAGCAAGAAAACAAGGAAAATCAAGAAAATACTTTATCTCTTCAACCTTTATCTTCAGTAATACAAGAAAAATTGCTAGACACAGATAAACCAGCAGAAAAAGATGATAAATCAACCGAAATTCAGCAAGAAGAAAAAGAAAAACCTCAAACGGAAAATGAAAATTCTACAATCGAAAATAGCGAGTTAAATTTACATTTAGATCAAGGTACAGAGAATAATGGAGCTCAACAGCAGCCTGGTTGCAATATGCCGCTAAATTTACAAAAAATAGTTTATCATTCAGAGAATTCTTTGACTTACAAAGCTTTAAATGGCGAAGAATTACCACCTCTTACTGAAGGTATGTATGCATCAATTGCTCATGATCTCAGAAAATATATTGATATTTGTTCAGAAAAAGGAATGATTTCAGAAGCATTTTATGTTCAAGTAATATGTGATGGTATCAAAAACGATAAAACCGCTCAAAAAGTACAAAAGAACAAAGAATTACATTCAATTGAACAAAAAATTAAGCAAACAAACGACGAAATTGAAGAAAGAAACAAGTACTGGAACACAGAACAAGAAAAGATCGATAGAGAACTCGAAATGAGTCTCCAAGAACTAGAAATGCAGAAAGATAAAGCTTTTACTGATTTAGACAACGAATGGAAGTCACCACAGAAGATGCAGTTGTACAGTAAACCATCTCCTGCATTGCTTAATATGAGAGATATAGTTAAAAGGATGATCAGAGCCAAAAAATTCGAAGATGTTCAGACTTTAAGTAAATTAATTGAAACAAAAGAGCATGAAGAAGCAGAGGAAGCACAGAAAAGGATGGATTCAGACTATAGGGCAGCCGATCAACATCTTTTTGAAAAATTTGAGCATGAAAAGAAAGTAATTTACGCGAATTACGAAAAACGAAAGTATAATATACAAAGATTGAGAGAAAAGAACTTCAGACCAATCAACCAAAGATTAGAGAACTTAACAAAGCAAAAGGAATCATTGTTAAAGTCACAAAAGAAAGTTATGTTGTCTGAAAAAGTTACAAAGAAGAATCGTGGAAAAGTAACAGCAAGAGATCCAACAAAATCATCTCGTGCTGCTCAAAACGAATCTGTTCCACTGCCTTCCCTTATAAAGAATCCAAAACTACATCTTCAAGGTGTTACTCCTATAAGAAGAGAAAAATCTTCTCATTCTTCTGCATCTCTTGTTCGTCCTAAGAATAATTCAACTCCAAGAGGTGTTGAATCAAGACTTTCAAAATAATTTTTATATATATATATTGTTGTTTTTAATTGTTTTTTATTGATTTTAAAAAATTATCATTTTTCATATTAATAAAAGGTTGTAAAACTAGGATTCCCAATTCCGATTTGCTTCTAATTTTGATGACAAGGTCATTAGATGATTCTAAAACAAATGGCCTATATTTTTTTTTGTGGCAAATTCTGAGGAAATTCATTGATTAGTAATTCTCACTTTTCCGATTTTAAAGGGACTAGTTCTGTTATATTTATTGAAAGAATCGACTCTAATTTACATGTTTCCCATTGCAGTTTTGATGATTGCTATAAATCTTCTTTTTATACATATGTTAAAGATAACCATAAGTTCGGAGGAGTGTGCATTATTCACAATGGGAATAATGCATCTTTGAATTATGTATCTTGTTGCAGTTGCAAAGTAGATTTTGATACATTCATTTCGACGTTCAATCAAAATAAATCATATAATTCTCATATTTACAATGAAATCAGTATCCATAACTGTACCTCACCGAATTATTTCATTTTAACTGACATTTCTCCTGCATATTTTTCTAAAATTAATTTATCCAATTCGAAAAGTTACGATTGCACATTATTCCATTCTGGATGGCTTTCAGTTGGAGGTAATTCAACATATTGGACATTAAATAATAATACATGTTCATCTATTCTTGGACATTCAAATACCGAAATCAAATACTACTATCTCAAGCTAATTTCGAATAAAAATCAATTTATTATCCAATTCTATTTTTGGGGTCCTAATTTCATTTTGAATTCAATTTTAATCGACAATTCAATGAAAAAATACAATACCGGAACATTAATACTCGATAACTGCACTTACGATATAAATGAAGATCTTATTGTCAATCCAAATTGCATACATGTTCAAACATACAGCATTCATCTTTTAAATTCGTGCCTCATATTCTCACAAAACAAATGCAGTAATAAAATATATAATCCTAAATTCAACTATATGTATACTATAATAATAGCACTAATATGATACTATCTGACTTTAATTCTAATTTCTGACAACAGGCGCGATGAATCAGAAGCTAGTCGACTCTCCCCAAGATGAACATGAATAAGACGTATATGCATATAATCAGTCATACATATAAAAAGCTTAACTTATGTTATAACAAAATTTTAGTAACTTCGGTTTTTTTTTCACGTAAGTAGTAGGATAGGATGGGTTGTGTGACTTTTTTTGTTACGTCTATATATAGATGAAGGTATATTTTCACATCTTCTATATATAGATGATATAAAATTTTTTTCTTACGTTTTTTAAGTCATGAATTCGTAAGAAAGCGCGACATTATTAAATAAATTAGTAATAAATATTATATACTAAACACATTTTAAAAAAATTAAAGTTATTTTTAAAATAATTTATTTTTTTATCTTTTATAAAAGAAGTTATATATAGATGATGTCAGATATTCCGCGATTAATTAAACATTGTTTAAATCCTGAATGGGTTAAACTTCAATTTAAAAATGAAGATTGTGAATTATTAAATGAATATGAAAGCCAAAATAAGCTAATGATTATTTGAATTTATGAAATCAATTATTTGATTCATTCTTTCTTCAATCTCTTCTATTCTTTTTGTTAAATCATCTATTTTCATTAATGAGGTGATTCTTGATTGAGGAATAGATTTCAAACTAACCACTCCTTTTATTTTTGAAATTTTGAATCCATCAACTTTAAACATTTTATTCAATTTACACGTTGTCAATTCTTCAAATAATTTTTTATTATTAGCATAATAGTCATTAAATTCTTCAACAGATGAAAAAATTTTTATTTCAGTAATTGGTTTAACAACGTTTATTTTTTGTTGAACATTTTCACTTTCATTTATTTCTTCCTCCTCTGTTTCATTTATTTTTAAAATCGGTTTCATTTATCATTAAATAAAAATTAAAATATAAGTGATGAAATATATTTTTTAATTAATATTAAATCAGAAATGGCGGCGGGATTCTTTAAAAAATTATGGGATGGAATTAAGAAAGCTGCAGGTTGGGTTCATAAAAAGATTATTAAACCCATTGCAAACTTTTTGGCACCAGTAGCGAAAACGGCAGGAACTATCATAGGTGGGGTATTAGGTACTAAAGCAGGTAATCCGGCGATGGGAGCACAAGCCGGTAACGCAATTGGTGGAATAGCTGAAGGAATACTTAATAAAATAGGAGGTAGATAGTGGAAAAATAAATTATTTTAAAATTATTTTTATCTTAGTATCGGTTGTAGTCTTTGATAAACTTTTTCTCCTTTATTTAAAACTTCTCTTATTGGGGCAGCTTTTGGTGTTATTGATTCAGCAACGTCACTAATTGCTTCTTTATTCTTAAATATCCAATTTGCCCCCCTTCTTCAATGTTTCCCAAACTTTACTCGCTCCTCTTTTTACTCTATCCCACAGTTTCTTAAATATACCTGCATCTATATATAGACGTAACAAAAAAAGTCACACAACCCATCCTATCCTACTACTCACGTATGATATTGTGCTATTTGATTTTTATTGTCATGAATGAAAGCATCTTATGCTATTAAATGCATTAAATAACAATCAATTTTTTTGGAAGCATAACAATCTAGCTTTTTTGAGATATTTCTTTTTAAGTCAAATGCAAATTTGGCATTAATAACAGAGTTTAAAAAATGCGTGTTTCTTAAAAGCACCATAAAACTTGATAACAATGCATTTGAATGCTATAATTTTTTAAAAGTGTTGAAAATTAAATTTAAAAAAAATGAGGAGTTTAAGTTGGATATCTTGGCATAGTAATGTGCGTATAGATATATTACCAATACTAATCTCCAAAAGCTCTAGTATGCAACTTGACTTTTCCGATATCTTATATTTCTACTCCTCGTCCTGAATTTAGATCAAAATTGATTATCACATTCAGAGTATATGCTGTATCAACTGAGTAATTTCGAAACGACTTTTCGTTATAAAAAACGATGAGTCATGGATTAAGTATTGACACAGATTACATCGCTAATAACATTCAAACATATATCGATGATGGCATCTTTTTTGATACTTTTGAAGAAGATATCATCTCTGAAACACTAGCGAAAACTTCACTTAATTCTCAGAACTTCATTACTCTTCTCACTCAAGGAAAATTGAAATATAGCTCATACAAGCTATTTAATTGTGTTCGGAAGTGCAGTATTTGCATTGGTTCATTTGACGAAGCAATTCAAATTCTCGAGAGCTACAAAAGTTATTTCAAACTTGAATCCGCTAATGGATTAATAGAGTACTTGAAGCAATTCAGATCAGAACATGTTTCAGATTCAAACGAAGTCACAAAATTACAAACCAAAATTGAAAAACTCGAAACAAATTTACAAAAGATTAAAGATGAAAATCATCAATACAAAAATGAAATATCATCTAAAAATAAAGAAAACATTCAATTAAATCGATCTATTAATAAATTTCAAGAAATTACTAAATTATTAAACACTGATGACTTTGAATCGGCATACAAATTCCTCAAAGAACTATCAACTTAAGATGATACAATTTCTATGTCTATTTCATGTGCAGTTGGATTAAGTGAAAGAAAGATTCCAAACAATGTACATCACTTCTTAATGCATGTAAGAATGGAGATCTTCAATTAGTAAAATCTCTCATTGAAGGAGGCTGTGATAAAGAAGCTGTTAATTGTTATGGCGTTAATTGTTTAATTATGGCATCTGGATTTGGTCATCTTGAAGTTGTTAAATATCTTATTTCAATTGGAGTAAATCCAAACGACAAAAATAATAAAGGATTTTCACCAATAATTGTTGCATCACTAAATGGTCATCTTGAAGTTGTTAAATATCTTATTTCAATTGGAGTAAATCCAAACGACAAAAATAATAAAGGATTTTCACCAATAATTATTGCATCACAAATTGGTCATCTTGAAGTTGTTAAATATCTTATTTCAATTGGAGTAAATCCAAATGATAAAACCAATAAAGGAACTTCATCAATAATTGTTGCATCACAAGAAGGTCATCTTGAAGTTGTTAAATATCTTATTTCAATCGGAGTCAATCCAAATGACAAAAGTAATTATGGTAGTTCTTCACTTCATTTAGCTGCAATTAAAAGACATTTTGAAGTTATTGAATATTTAATATCCATTCATGTAAATGTTAATGATAAAAACAAAAGTGGAAAAACCGCACTTGATATTGCAAGGGAAAAGGAAAATGAAAATAAAAATTATAAAAAGATTGTTAAACTTCTTTTGCAATCAGGTGCTCAATAAATTATATTTTGACTACTTCCTTATTGAAAATAATAAATTCTAAAAAATAACTTATCTGTGTTATCACATTATTCTTAATAAAAAAAAAGGTAGTGGGGCTTCCAGGCGCGTTGCGCCCTCTAGCCCCGAAGATGTTTAGTATAAATGAAGTTTATATTCGGAGGGCTTCCAGGCGCGTTGCGCCCTCTAGCCCATAAAAAATTTTTGAGAGTCGTCGCCGTTGACTTTTTTGTAGAGCACTCAAAATAGTATAACTTTGTCCGGACAAGTAAGGGTCTATCGTCGCTACAGGAAAAGTTACAGGCGTTCCAAGGAAGTATACTTTGAGAAGCCTTTTCTCCCTTATAGAATGAGATAGGACGGTTATTTTACAAAACTGACAACACTTTGACCGAGTAGTTTTTTGTGCTGAACAAAAAGTGTCATATAAACATCTGTCAAAAACCGCTTTTTAACTTCACTTAAAATGCCACGTAAGCTACGTAAGAATATACGTAAGAGGAAGGGAGCATTGAAACATCCAATAGTAAAACTGACACCACAACAACAGTTGCAACAACAAATGATGAATGACCCCACTATGTTGCAACAAATGTCAAGCAACCCTATGCTTTTAAACCGAGTTATTGGTGCACAGAGTGGAGGTTTAAGAGCGGTACTTTTAGCGAAAATGGCAGGCTATGGTGGAGCTGCAGACGGAACAGCTTATAACCCTCAAAGTCAAATGAATTTGAGTTCACTCAAAAATCAAATAACATATGTCAAAAAGTCAAACATAGACATACAGAAACAAATAAGTGAAAACGAAAAGAAACTAGAATATGACAGACAGACAAAGAAACTCAATGAGTTAAACGTAGAGAAAAAGAAGAAAGAAGAACAACTGAAAGAACTAAGTACAGAGGAATATGCGAAAAAAGTGTCAGAAAAAGCAGCAGAAGTAGCAAAAATGGAACAAGATGTTATAAATTTGAAAAAACATACTACTCAATATAAAGTACTGAAAGATGAAGAAATAAAACAAAAAGCCCTGAAGACATATATGGATAGCGATGAGTATAAAAAAGAAGTTGAAGCAAATGTAAAGGCAGAAAAACTTTTACAGTTGCAAAACCAAACCGTACAGTATGAAAACTTAGCACAAGAAAGTAAAAATAACGACGCAGCCATGCAAAAGGCAATGAAAAGCGCAGAATATATAAAAGCTAATAATGACTGGTTAGATGCCCAAGCCAACGCTAAAGCAGCCCAACTTATAGGGTCAATAAGGACAAAAATACAAGCGGATGAAGACAGTTCAAATGAAGCTTTAATGAATGCTGACTTTAAGAACGCCTTCGAAGCTCTTCATAGTAAGGTGAAACTAGTGAACGACTTCTCATCTGGAAAGAAACTGAAGTCTGAAGGTTTCGACAAAGAGTTAAGAGAAGTAGCACAAAATATGACGAAAATAACAGATGCAGCAACGAGACAGGCAGTTCAAAGTGCCTATGACGCCGTTAGAGCAACTGTTGTGGAAAGTCAAGAAAAAGAGTTACAACAGACCAAAACAGACCTAGTAAATGCTTTCTTAAAAACGAAAAGTCAGGTAGGACATTATGCTGCAGATGGAACATATGTGCCAGCTGGTGGAACTTATATACCACCAAACCCTCCAAGAGAAGCACCTGCACCAGGACTACCTAAAACATTTACATCGTCACATGGACACAGACACAGGCATGCACCAAAACCAACACAACAACCAACAGTTCAAAATCCAGCACAACAACAACAACCAACACAACAACCAACAGTTCAAAATCCAGCACAACAACAACAACCAGCACAACAACAACCACAAACAGAGCAAGGACATAAAAGAAGTAGAGAACAAGGAAACCAAGAATTCTTAAAAATGCTTAAGGAAGATTATGGTTACCCAGATACTCTTGACTTTAGTGACAGATATAAAGAAGCTATTAGAAAGTTCAAGGAAGGAAATACTGACCCGAACCTATTTAGCTTTATGGCTCAGCACCAAATGGGATATAATTTCAAACCTGGAAAATACAAGCTCGCTAAGGGATATGATTTAATAGCATATCATCCAAATGACATGAATGAATTTACTCCGAGATATTTGGTGTCAGAGCTAAATGATAATTCAACTCTCTTCATGAAACGCGTAAAAAATAGAGACGGAACGAAAGAAGAAAGGTTTATGAGTCCGGATGACTTAGATAGGGAACTTGTTAAAAACGGTCTCGGAATATATGAAATGCCAGCAGATGAGGTACAAGAAACTCCACAGGAAGAAGTTCAGATACAACCAGACATGGAAGAAATAGTTCAGCAACAACAGCTAGAAGAGCCTGAAGGAAACGAACAAGTCCCTCCTTTGGAAACTAACTTCACAGAACTAGATGAAGATTTGGAACAGCCGAAAAATCTTGACCCTCAACAAGAGTATGAGGTGAATATGGAATCTTTCCAAGAGTCTAAGAAAAATTCGGCTGACATAGTAGAAGAATATCGAAAAATGTTTGCCGACATACAAAAGACTCCAACATCAGATGAAAATATTCAGCATAGAATGGAAGTACTGAAAGAAAATGTACGCAAATACAACAATCCTTTTTACTTACGACCATATAACGTTCAATCTTTGGCTGAACTCGGTGAAAATAAAAGGTTAAATTTCAACAAAACATATAGAAATGAAACATTGTTTAAAGTTCATTCAGAACCTAACCAATATGGAAACAAACTTACTTTTGTTTCTGCAGACTATGGAACTACAATGAGATGGGGTCATAAAGCTAATCCGGATAGGTGGTTCATAAACTTACAACCACAATTCCAAGAAGTTGTAGACGCAATGGAAGTGAATGGTGAACCAGATATAGCTGGTATTTTCAGCGCGGCTTTAATGCCATTGAAAGATATGAAACATGCAGATATTTTGGACCAGTATGAAATGAACATGGCTGATGGAAATATAACACCTGACGTTCTAGAACATTTATCTCAAAGAACTACACAGAACCATAAAGATGGTATATTTGGTGAAGAGTTTAGAAAGAAAGTTAGGGAGAAAGAAGGAAGAGAACCTATTGTACATGACCTTGCAAACGAAAGTTTGCAAAATGTCATAAAAACTTACTTTGCAGACAATGAACCGAGAAGGGATGAATATTTAAGAAAACTCAAATGGACAGTACCAAATGAAATGTTAGTATTGAAAAACATGTTCCTTGACAAAATAAAACCAACTACAGAAATAAATGACGCAAGACTGAAACATTGGGTAAAAGCTTTCCCATTCACAAAAGATATTATTGGTAACATGGAAAGAAAACCAGAATGGCTACAAAAACATATATTTGGAAACGAGCTTATTCCATATGGACAAGCTCTGTTTGAAGAGCTTGAACCGGAAACTCAGGAAAGAGTCATGCAAACAATACGCGAAGACTCAAATACAAACTATGACAAAATCTTTCTAGGATATAGGTTACCTGAGATGGGCGACCAGAGCCCAAAGGCAAAAAGGACATGGGAAATTTACAACATACTAGGTGAACATGAGGCAAAGATGCAACAACTTGAAGCAGAGGGCAAGTTACCAAAAGCGACACCAAAGAAGAAGAGAAGAGTAGAACAAAGTGAAAGTAGTGAAGAAGTAACTTCATCTAGTGAAAGTAGTGGCAATGAAGGAAAAAGAAGAGTTAAAAACTCAGCCAGGAAGAAAGTAAAGCTTGGTCCACGTGGGTTCTATTATGACACATAAATCCAACTATTCTATATTTTTACCCATATGAAATGTACGCCGCTCAGAATATAACGCCAACAGTTTTGGATGCCATGAACGGAAATGTTTCCGAATGGTATAACGAATGCGACAATGCCATTAGAAGGTCAGAAATAGTTCCTGGAACTTACGAATATACAACTGCTGTTTCTTATGGAAATGTAGGTGAGTTTGGAGAAGGTTCTTCAACAACAGTAGATATTGCTTGCGACAGGTTTCACATTATTTCTATTGACAACTCATTCTTATACGTGGAACAAGACATTGAAATAAAACCTTCTGCCAAGTTGTCTGACAAGAAAGGTTGCAATGGAATTTTCTATGTCGGATACCAATATGCTCCAGAAGTTTTCATGGGATATAAGATATATTCTAACTCTGACTTAGTTCAAACAGTAACATGGGCAAACTATGAATGGTTCGCTTTAAGAAACTCAGTACAACCACAAGCTAGAGAACAAACAGACCAGTATGCAAATATTGAGAAAATAAGAAGACTTGACCCTAACGTTCCAGGAGTTTATGTTAACCTTTCTGGTTCAGATGGAAATGCTGCCACTAAAGTAAAACTGAAACTTAGAGTTCCTTTGTCATCTTTCCTCATCTTCAGGTTTTTAAGATACTTGCCAAACTGGGCAGGAAAAATTTCTATCGAACTTACTCCAAGCAAAAATAACTTAGTCATTGCACCAACACAAGACCCATTCACTATTACAGACGTAAAGGGAACAAATAAAACATCATTCGCCGAATTTTGCAAAGACAAAGTTGACTTAGACTTTGGTTTCTCAAACTTCAACAATGAAGTAAACTATTATTTCAATGCTGCTGGAACTGCTTGGGACCCAGTTAAGTTCACATGCGAAAAATTTGAATGCAAGAGAATAGAAAGCAGACTTGCCGTTTATATGTTGGACCCAGATATTTCAAATGCTTTAGCTGCCAAATATATTGCAGTTCCACTTATGTTCCCTATACACCAAATATCTGTCAAAGACTTTGCAGGTGAAGTTGGAAACCAAAGTGCTGACCCAGGTGCAAGAACAGATATTGCCTTAACAACTGCAATGAAACATGCAGATACTATGTTTGTACTGTTCAGACGAACTATAAATGACTATTCTTGTTTCTACAACCCTGGTATTAAATATCATATAAACATAGATGGCAAATATTATCCAAGAGAAGAATATTCTACAGTTGAGGA